TACCTTCCTTGTATGCAAATCCTGTTCAAGTATGAATTTCTTCCTTTTTCTGTTTTATATAAATGCAATCACCTCCCACTTTTCGACGAAACAATCTCAACATCTCTTTCTGAAAATGAATACGCGTGGAAATTTTTTATGGGTCCGTGCTGAGTTTTCCCAGACACTTTTTAGAGAATTTTGATATTCTTTTCAATGTTTCAGACCTGTTTGACCTTGAAAAACCCGTTGTGAGTTTGAGTATTCCAATGTGCACTTTTCCACCCACTGCCCAAGCTTTTCTAGACAAATGAGGGTGCTGTTTCGTGATTTCGATAACAGTTACAGAGAGAGAAGCGCCAACCTCAGACTTAAGAACCAAAATGGCTGTTCATCAAGTGTACTATACAGCATGTAGCTTTGATAATGGTTAATGTCCGTGAGCACTGGCACATAATCCACCCTTTTGGATCCCACAATGGGGGACTCTCATGTCGCAAATCTCTCAATAAATAGCTCTGATGTTGATCAAACAGCCCTGGTGTCGATCAAACAGCCCTGACGTCGACCAAGCAAGACACTGCTCGGTTTATAATGTTTTCTATTCGAATTGTGAACCCAAAATTTGCTCTTTGAAATATTTCTGAGGCCCAGTAGCTAATTGCCAATAATTTACACAACAAAAATCATAAGCAGAAGGGTATTTAGGGCAGCCAAAAAAATGAATAAATAAAACTTAACCTTTCCCGCAGTGTTTTGTATACAACTCAATGCAGCGTTGGCGTTTCCTCCCCGTGATGACATCAAATAGCCTATCTGGTTTAGTTTATGAAAGAGGAAACTCACATTTGCTTGAAAAAGAGGTTCTGAAATATCCTCCAAAACAGGAAAGCAAAAGCTCTGTGTACTAATGTACCACAGCGTATACCACAATGTATTGGCTGCATAGAATGAGCCCCGAGCAGGACCAACAGAGGGCGCAGTTTTCTTAGCAACGGAACCTCCTTTGGTCGGAACTGATCTCCGCTGGTTCACAAACTGGAAATACATGCGTTGCGGTCGCATGGCTCCCAAGAAAATGAACACTCCTGACCAATAGCGGCTCTTTGCAACCAATGAGGGGGTGTTTCCACTCAAGGCGGATAGGGGTCATAGGTGTATCGTATGCATATAAGCACGGTGATCTCCAGTTTTGTGTAACCATCATTTGAAATCTTCCGGGAAATTATTTCCCACTACCGGAGGGAGTAAGCATGCGCATTTCACTTTCATGTGATTGGATGGCAAGTCAACGTCTGTCATTTTTCTCACCCTTGGCATCCAACGACCCCTCTTTCCCTATATGCACTGCGGTACACAATGATACACCACCAACACAAGGGCTGTTGAAACACAAAGATTAATTTCAAGAGTTGTAGAATAATGGCATGGAACTGCATGGACCTTTCAAGCGAAGCCATGCGAAGACAATAATACTATCCGCCTCGAGCCGAACACCCACTCATCGGTAGATAAATGCCATGGTGGTCGAAAGAGTTCCTTTTGTTGGTAGCGATGCGACTAGTCGATCGTGAACCAGCGAAGTTCATTTCCGACCAAAGGAGCCTCCGTTGCTAAGAAAATTGCGCCCTCTCTTGGTCCAGCTCAGCCTCGGAGGCTTTTTCGGTTGACGAGCCAGGCATTCGCCTTCAGGCAAAGCTCGCGGGGTGCGTGCACTAGTCTGTAATAACAGGTAATTACCGGTTCTATATGCCACTCTATGTCATTAAGCACCATATATACTTCAGGCGACATTCAATCCTGTCTTCTCCGAATCCTTCAACCGCACAAATTTAGTCGGATCTAGTTCCATCCTCTGAGGAACAGCTGCACATTCTGTGTTGGCAACGTACGGCAGATGTTTTCGCGGAATCTTCAATACGTCAGGGTGACTTTTTAAACTATGATGCAGCGAATTTACTTCTCTATCTGAAATGCGTGAAATGTACAGTCACAGGGGTATTAACTCAACTAGACACTGGTCGTTTTATTTTGAGACATTGTCCAAAATATTTAATGGTCAAACATTTAGATGACGTCTACCCGCTGTCAGTTTTGGGAAGAGCTTTATGCGCATGTACTCAGTGTGCAGTAGAGACGTGAACTAAACACCACAAATTTTTGATGAGATTAATCACACAAAGCATGAACATCCCGGAAACAAAACTAAAAAAAAAAACAACCTGAAATCAAAGGAGACTATAAAACTGTTCATACGCTAGTCGTTGTTTGTTTTAGTTCATTACGAATTTGTTCTTAATTTAGTGTATTCTCTGCATTTCGTTAAAGCCCATCGTGCATTTTTACCCGGCATGGCGGCCATCGCCGCATCACGTGATGACGTCCCGCCGATATCGATCCTTTGCCAATATCCAAGGTTGTAGTAAATCATGTTATTCATATCCAGCGTAGCACGACAGGCAAATCTCCAACTTGTTACCGCTGGCATACGGCGCACTGACGGTGTCTGGAGCACTTGACCAGACTTGATAAGTTGATGCGGCCAAAGTCGACAGAATTTAACCGGCTCTTGCACGAATTTATTGACAATGCGATAAACCCGCCAACCCATGCACAATGCGGTTTCCCGTGTAGCGCGTAGGGATAACTGTTGGGCGTTTTCGGTGCAGTATCGGCCTTGGTAAACAAACCCATCATTGAATATGCAGACGGTTCGTGCAGACATGCTATTATTGGAGTACTCAGCGGCAAGAGGTGTATGAAAAATCGAAAGAAAAAGTCCACAGAAATCCGTTGCTGTGGACATCATTCTGCACGAGTAGGGCATTTGTTAATTTAAATAACGAGTGAACAACTTATGATACCAAATAAGTATAGAAAATCACCAAATACCAGTTTAACATGGCAGGAAAAGTTTACAATTTGAAACCCGAGCAAACACAGACCCATTCTGGGTTGATTACCTGGAACTTAAGGAAATCCCAATTTTTCGGAAACACACATCTCTGCCTTTTTTTTAAAAAAAGAACGTTTCACCTTCTAAATGACACCCACCCTCTCTCATTCACCTAAGTCAACTACGAAGGTATAACCTCTTGCCTGGGTCGTTATGAGGGAGTTATTTCTTTGAAATCTTTTTTAGGCGGACATAGGGCCTTGGCAGTTACACGTGCTTGTTTTGAGAGTCAACGCTACGTGGGCACGATGCATAGCTGCCGGGCAGGCAGGATATGCGAGTGGGTTAGCTGTCGGTTAATATAGGTCACACACCCGTACCGTACAAGCAGGCGACATAACTGTAATACGTGCATGGATCCGACTTTCGCGGAAGGTAACAATGTTTATTCTGGGTTGTACGTCTGTCGCACCAACTGTGCGTGAGTTTTATAAGAGCGGTTGTCGTTTTAACAGTTCACTGTGTGCAGTGCACAGTAAATGCGCAGTTGCATGGAAATTACTCCATGGAAAGATCAGAGGTGGTGTGTTCCCTATACGGCACGGCTCAATCATTGCTCGTGTACTAATACAAGTGTGCACGTAAAATGTTCAGCCAAAATGACGATCTAGTTAGTTCGTGCAGCCGAGGTTTGTGCACTTTGCAGAAAACCGGGGGCCCTCTTTTAGAACGGAGCGCACCACACGGACACAAGCGAAACCAGGTCAGCCATCCGGGCTGTCGTTCCCATCTCACGATCGAGTCAGGTGTCACATTCGCCGGTAAACGGCCTTCACCCGCGCCCAGCCAAAGCCTGGCACGAAATAACTCACGGGCCGGCGCAGGCGGCAGTTGTAACATGGCTGGTCGAAAGGACCTGGACAGGGACACCTGTGACGGGCCAGTGTGACTGTGGGGTGAGATCTTACAGTCAGCCTAGTGCGTATGCCCAAATGCGAATACAAGAGGGTAATTCCAGAAATTAAGGGTCCAAAAGTGTGACATATCTGTGTCTCTGTTACATCTGATCTTTGTTACTTCACACGGAATATCACCGGAATTGATTTCAAACTGTTATATCTGTTGTCGGTTAAGTGGCATTAATTCATCACTTTTGGAAATTAGAAAATGTGTTCTGAACTTCCAAATCTTTTGTCAGATGTAACAGGGACACGAAAAAGGACCCCTAATTTCTGGAATTACCCAAGTAGAGTTCCTCAGTCTTGGGGCACCGGCTGTTGTCGTGTACTGAATTCGAATCAGACATCACTGAACGGAAGCCTGTTGCTGACAGCAATACAGCACGAGAATTTCTTCAAGTCCACCACCGTTTTCCACAAACAGCAGCGGCTCATTCGTAACGAGCGCGTTGCAAATGGTCCATTTCGCGCACGTGATGCAAACCCTCATCTGCGCATGCTCTTCATGTTCTTCGAGGATCATCTATGGAGATCTATGACTTAAGTCTGTTCGCCTTTGCCGTCTGCCTTAAGGCTTAAGGCTGTGTACAGCTGGGTTATCGCCAGAATTCAACCCTTTTTGTTCCGTTTATCGTTTTTCTCGGATTTTGGGGGTGGTAATTGAAATAAGTGAACTAATTAAGTTAATATAAAACAAAATGTATGATTATCATCAAACTGCAGAATTTGTTATGCATTGCTTGAAAATGAAAAAGAATCAAGTGTATTATAATGTCACAATATCATATGCATACCAGGATAACGATATCCTTTATTTACATGCGACAATGCAACCAATACAAGCGGTCAATGTGTAATTATCTGTGCAGTCGATTTCACAATGCATTAGTCATCCTAGTCTCTTGCATGCAGTTACTACTAGTGACCCGTACATATCCTACCCTGAATTGCAGACACGAATGGCCCATGATTCACAACCCAACCATTCAGCATTACCCTCTGGTAACCTGAAAACAAGACCAGTTCACAGATGACACAAAATTCGGCACAACTGGAGTTGTTAATTAATCGGTATATATCAAGACCAGAGACGGAGTTCGGCGAATGGCCGTTGATACTGTCGAGAAAAGGTATAATTTTTAAACTTGCATCATTGATTTACTTGCCTGATCAGACGTCGGCTCGGTCAACTCTATAGAAAGTCCAGTAAAACCATCCCAGCGTTAAAAAAGGACTGCTATCCAGCGTCGTTGGTCGGTAGTACAAGGCTGAGCAATATGATCAGGCACGGACAAAGGTACAGGAATGCTCAGACCTATTCCAGTTATTTCTGGGAAGTCTGCCGTAGTGATGTGGTGCACCACCCGTACCCTTGCACTTGCTCACGAGATTGTCCTTAACCCGCGCTGTAAAGCGTGTCAGCCCAGGTCATTCATCCAGACGGCCGGCCTCCTCATTGGCTGGCGAGCGCTGCCCACAACGTACGTAACCGTGACAGTGAGAATTGCATAACAGCGGGCCCCGGGCCTGCTTGGGATGACATAAAGCATTTTGCTTCCCGGATCCCCGGCCCCGACTGTTTTCCCCCCGGCGGGGCGGGATTGTGTAACCGCCGCTCGCGATTGGCTGCTATAAACAGGCCCCTGCTCTGGCGGTATGGGAGTTTACATTAGATTAGCATGAAGCGTGAACTGGGGCAATAACACGCAATGACACCGGCAGCTGCCCGAGTTTACAGTGTGCGCTCGCCAACTGCATGCAGTTATGAGAGCTAACTCAACGCTGGGCCAAGTCTGCCGATGCCAGAGAACTGGGTCGCTGTCACAGGGACCAACTTGGAAAAGCCACAAATGGAAAGACCGAGCGCGCGTGTGCGAACCGTAACGACTCCAAAAGCGAGACCGTGTCCTTGTGATGTCTAAAAATGGCGAAACTGAAACTGTGTGTCATGTTTGCCTCTGAACACTTAATACGAAATTGTGTGATGATTTAGTTTCGTAATTACTGATTAAGTATACTCGCTGCAAACACTTCCATTTCTTTTTCGGTGTGGATTAGATTACTCTCGAACTTAAAAGTCTTAACAAAAACTGCAGCTCAATGCGCATGCTTACGAGGCAGTGTCTTTAAAGCATTGAAAATGGAAATAAAACCTGTTACTGCGAAAGTGTGTCGCATCAGTTCAGCCAGACATTATGCAAACAATCATAATTGTATGTTTTGGATGAACGGGCCCGCTTTTCAAGCCATCTTTGCAAAAGAACACGTGGCGTCCCGGGTTCCGCGCGTGATGGGAGCTTGATGATCATGGCATACACCGTACCAACGGTTCACCCTCGTGACGAGGAAGGCTTTGCCGTGCGGCACGCAGCTGCTCCTGCAACGGCGGCCGGTGTAAAAACTTGAAATCTTACAGCCGGGAGGTGGGAGGAATCCGGCGCCCCAACTGAGATATCGGCCCTCCTGTGCCCATATCCTACAGTTTTTTTTAATTTTGAAATGCATGTAGAGGCAATGCAAGTCCGTCTTTTGACCGAGTTTCAGTTCGGTCGAGAGTTTTTGGTATCGTTTTAAAGGTTAACCCCGTCTGGCAGCGCGTGTCGCTCGCCTGTATGGCACATTTTAAAGTTAAAATTTTAGGGCTGGTCTCTCTTACGAAAAGAAGCATTTCATTACGCGACAGTGGTGTCTTCCATTTTCATAAACTTGTTCTCAAAATGCACTGCGACGATTTCAGAGAGATTCTGTAGTATGGGGCTTGTAAGTTGTATTGTGAATGAAAGCTCGATATACCATACGATTGACACCCAAGTCACCTGCAATGGATAAGGCGAGAATATGACTATCTCCCGGCTCAAATCTCATCATCATACGTGTTTATATAAATTATAATGGTGCATCAGACTCGTATGTCATTCCACAGCGGCGCCATTCTAGAACAAATGCGAGGTGTTACTTACCTTTGTCTTGGTTGCATTGCTGAAAAGGGTTTAACTTCAGATTCTATTTGGTGGTACATGTCTTGTTGTCCGACTTTATTTCAGGTGCGGATCCAGGTTGGTCCGCCTCCCCCCCCCGCTTATTGGCATTTTTCAAAGGTTGAAAAAGGTCGCCAAGGCCCAACACTGAAAAACCGCATGTGGCGGTCTTATTTGATTAGAAGGGTTAAGGACAAAACAAAGACATTGAAATGGCCTCACCAACCCCGACAAAACATGCAGTAGCCCCCCCCCACGAACAAAACTTCCCGCACCCCCCGTAAAACAATCATGGATTCGCCCCCGTGTTTGTTAGCATCTCTTTCATATAAATCACGGGCCCCGGTAACGTGACTGCTGTCTGGCTTAGGAGGACGAAACTTGAGGCGACTTTTATCACTGTATACAAGCGCCCACCAGGATCCGATTACATATCGCACTTTGTGTTTACAAAATTTTGCCGCCATTTTATATTGTTATGGGTGGTGCAGCCAAAGTTGGCCGAATCTTCCCCTCATGGACCATGGCTGACACCACTTGGAGCGGTATTTTCATGTAGTATTGAGTAGCAGTGTTTATTATTGAATGTTTGAATAGCCAGGTGATTTTTTCCCAACACTCACTTGTGAATTTGTCACTTGGTTTTTATATAGAATGACGGTAAGGTGTAGATTTCAGACCAGCGGCTGGCAAAACCAACATGAATGTGACATAGTTAACCAACTACTACGCCGCTCGTTTTCGGTCAACTCTCTCACCTCAGTAAAAAAGTGCGCCGGAACTTTTTTTCAAACCAATTAGTCACGGAGAGTTAAGCGTAATGCATAAATGCGCAAAGAAATTGATTTAGCACTGAGAATCCCACCATATGGAGGTAAAACAAAATGGAGCAAAGGTGAGCTTTTATCATCCAAATCCTTGTTATAAATTTAAATTAATGAATTTTACACTGGCCATGGTTCGGTGGCCAGTATGTCTTACACTTTTTTCCCAGTTACTCGGCAAAACTATGAGTATCAAATCTTTATCCAAACCGTATTCAGAAATCTGTTTTGAGAGTGGAGGATGCAGTGTTAGTTAAATTAAGCATGGAGTTAAGGTAATCAAGACAATGTAATGCGCTTGCAGGGAAAAGATTTCGCGACCGTAATTGGTATGATACTGATGTTTGTCTGGCTTACGTCATCGCGTCATCTCCAGATTGAATTGTATTTCACGATTGCGTTTAGGCAAGATGGTTCTAGCTACGACCTTCATAGTGTCGCCTTACCCACAGAAATGGCGTCTCGGCGCCGAGCGACCGGGCCTCATTTTGGCCGACTGAGGGTCTCTCTTTTTATCGCCCGAGGAAGATTATACCGTCAGCCATGGCCCCTGTAGCTGAGACTTTATCAGGAAGGACACCGCGGAGGTTTTTTTTATCGGCCCGGCCGTGAGAGGGGCTTGGCCGTGAGTCCTCCACGGGTTATCAAGGACGCAATAGCAGGCAAGGTGCAGCGGTGGTTGTGAGGTGGTGCGGTCAGGAAAACCGGTTAGGTTCGTCGACGGACTCTGAGGCCACTTCGCTAACGGTCAACGGCGCCCTCAATAGCGTGCACAGATCATTGTGGTGGCTTCCATAAAGATCGTATGCGCAAGCACGGGGGAGGGGTGTCGACCTCAAGTGTAGTCCGAGACAATGCGAAGATGAGCGATAATTTTGCTTTCACATGAATTACAGAATGATCATGAAATATATTTAATTTCTTCTGCTGATGCATGATTTTGATAGTAGCAATGCATTAATACTCTGGTCGCTGTAATCAAATACGCGCCTACATGTAGGCCTATAGCTTTCACTTTGATCTTGCTGATACTAATTAGCGCAGAAACTGAAGGGGGAAGGTTACACGGGCATTTGATTTACCCAATGTGACAGTCGCGGCTTATCATTGCCAATATCTCCAACTCGATTCCCTTGAACCTTTTCTATTGAGCAGAAGCAACCGCTCATCGGTTGAAAGGAGCCATGCTGGTCGGGAGTGTAGTTTGAAGTTGATAGCCACGCGCATTTTAGCCGCTCGTGCACCAGCGAAGCCTTAGGTCTTACCAAGGCAGCCCCCGTTGCTAGGAAAATCGCGCCCTCTTGGTCCAGCTCAGGCCCCATAGGTCTTCTTTAGTGTTAGGGGGAAGCTCTGGAGATATCACCATGAGAGTAACCCCCCCCCCAATTTATTGTATGTTACAATTAGCTAACCGTAAGCTTCCGGCATTACCAGACTGTCTGTAATTTCCTTCATTGATTTGTAAAAAGAAATCGCGAAACACATCCACCCAGTTTAATATGGAATGCGCCATTAAAAATATGCATCTGAATAATCAATTAGTTTAAATTGTAGCTTTCAAACTTAGCTCGAGTAGAACAAATTCAGGGATTTGTAAGTGAACCCGAGCGAACAAATCTAAATGCGTTGGAAAGTATTTAGCGCAAGACGTGTTACTGACACACCTGCCGAGTCACATGTGACAAGTAATTAAAACAAAACGTTCTCACGGGAGGTTACTCACCGCTGACAATACGGACCATACTGCACTAATCGACCAATCACCTAGCGATGATAAACGGCTCGTATATTTAATGTTTTCGACGGACGGACTCACGTTTGGACAAAATTAGAACAAGGGCTATTCTCGTGCATGAGTGATAGATTTCACACAAGCATAGAGCTAGGGATATTTGGTGAAGGAGAGGGGAATTTATTTTTGTTGGTAGCTGCATCAGTTTTTTTTTTCATGTGACTCCGTAGTGAAGTTTGCATCGGAACGAATTGCTGCGCCGGTCCCTAGCACGAGGAACGTGACACGAATCGGCGGTTGTCCTTGCTGCGAAGAGTTGAAAGACCTCAACTTGTCCTTTGATAGTCTCGATATCAGTCGCGATTTAAGTGACAGCGTGGTCACCCGAAGCGCCCTGCTCAGAGTCTGAAACATTCGCGTGCGTTTGTTCGTGAAGGTACTGTTGCATGGCCCGTCACTCTATATGTAGTCTCGAGTCCCCTTTGAGCCTGCTTCCTGCAAATTGGCCTGTGAGACTAATCGCTTTGAGAAATCAGCCCACACGATTAATGGTAGGTACCAGCAGGTTAATTGCGCTTGGTGCGGGCATGCATGGTGCAACCGCGTCTCTGCGGTTCATTATGATCGGGTATATCAGATGTTAATGGTATGTGCTGATGAGATGTTGTGTAACGCATCCTGTCTCCTCTTCTTGCACGCACATCGGCACGATGATGAAAATTTAACACAACCATTACACGATTTTGACACGATCAGCACTACTTGAACATGTTATGTGCACTCAAACAAGGGGACGTAGGATTATCAATGTTTCTCTAGTTGGGGGTTTGTTTCCAAATTTTTATGAACTTGTTCGGCTTGCCCGAATACATCTCATCATCTCGATGCAATCGAATCTTTTTATTTGTTTACAGTACAGCTGCCTTCGTTTGTTTTGAACTTTGAAAAAAAAAGATTTTTTTTAATTCATGTCCAAGCTGGACAGAAAAGCGAAATTTCGAATTAACATTTTGTGAGCTCATTTTCAATAAATTAATGACTTCTAGTTAGCTTGACAATTAACAGAACGACTCCCAGTCCTTTTGACGTCAAGATGGAACCGACTTTAAAACTTTGTGGCAATTTTGTCAAACTGACAGCAATGACAGAAGACGACTGTTTATTGAACGTGAAGGATTGTATCCGCACCGAGGTTGTCTCGTTA